TTTCGATAAAACATTGTAGCACATTTATTATTTTTGGGATGTTTCCCAAACTGATGTAATTTGATGAAATACTAAGTAACGGGGAGGTCCTAGATGACTGTTTCAAAAGAGTGGTCTTATGTTGATACAACTCATAACCTTCACTTCCGTAGGTAAACGTACCACTATTGAACCACGTTTAAAAAAACAGGATGCATAGAGTCACACTAGAATTTAATTATTTACCTACATTGACTACTTTGCTGAAATTAAAGTCTCAAGAATCATATTACCTAATCCCTACATATGTTAGGACGTTCCTCTGATCTTTTAGCAGTTTCCATTCTTTCTGTTTACTTCCTTTCCAGAAGGTGTAGAAATCAAACTGTAATGTTGTAGAATCCTCACTATGCAATATTTCAACACAGCTATTTCCTGTTTATATATATATATATATATATATATATATATATATATATATATATATATACCATTTTATAAGTTGACTGTAACAGAAGCAGCTAAAACTGGGATTTAATTCTTTTAACCTGGTCGTCGTATTTCAATAGTATATGATCTTAGAAGTGATTACATTTCAGTATTGGTACGAACATATAGGAAATCTGTGAAAAATGTCTCCCAAAGTAAATGCTAAGATAACATGGTAAAGTAAGAGTATTCGTTTCGTTGATTGAAAAGAATCAGCTTCTTCCAGGATTGATGCGTAGTTATTTATTTCATTTCTATGAATCACATGATGATCTCTATGAAAATATTTCCATCCTGGTGGATTAATTATTTAAGAGTATTGTAAGAAACAATGTTATAATGCATAAATTATGCCAAGCCACCTACATCTGCCTACCGGTTATTTTTCGTTTCTTCACATCAATTAGAAAGAAGTTTGAAAGTCCAGGCATACTTATTACTACTGTGATTTTGTCTACAACAAATGTAAAAACATTCGAGTTTTACAGCGTTTTCACTTAATTTAACGATATCATGTAGTAGTCTCTGTTTCTTTTGTCATAAGTTTTTTACCCATTACATAACAGTTACGAGCTTGAATGTAGTAGGATCCTTTTACAAGCCCCCAAGATAAGATGTGATGCGTATATGTAGATAGATAGGTGATACTGTTTTAGCGTGCTTGCTTCACATCAGCTTTTGACCAAATGAATACTTATGACTGTTTGTCATTTAAAGGGACACTCAAAAATATTATGAGTAGTAGATGCAAAATCATTTCATTTTACTCAAAAGAAAAAACAGTCAACAAATGTGCATAAGTGCAGGAGAATAGTTATTGTTAGGTATGCCTTTTTATAATCTGGGAGCATAACTATGTGTATGACGTGGATAGTAAGCAAGCAGTGCACATCTTTGGATATGGAAAATAAAGGATTATCTTAGAAATTTGACACTAAAACGACTTATTCTTTTAACACACATCTGGAAAGTAACACAAAGTACTTAATTAAAAATCTTGTTGAAATAATTAGAATTAACCATTTTCAGTCACTTGATGTTACTGATTATTCAGCGTTGAACAGATATGATCAACCACTTTTCTGCCGAATGGCTATCACACCTAAAAGTCACCCACTAGAATAGTGGGTTATTGTGGGTTCTTCATATGAATTCCCACGCCTGTGTTTTGCGTCTATAACTTGAAACACGTGTCAGAATGCCTGTGACTTCATACCAATCATCTTCAATCATCCAAGACTAAGTGATGACTACACCAATCAACTTTGACCAGCAAAAAAGTATTGTGGCTATTGTATGTATGTGGTTTTAATCTTTGAATGCACTGCTATTTCGCAGTTCATTATTTTCTTTACAAGATTTGTAACTTCTTACTTAACTTCCTACTTCTGAAACTAGAAAAGGTGTATGCTACACGCTTTATTTCCACTCCAGATATCCTCTGTACACCGTTTCTTGTATGAATGCGAAGCACTAGCTTCAAATGTGCACGAGTGATTCCTAATGAGGAAACAGTTGAGTGGAACACCTATCGTGAAGATGCATGTACTAGACCGTACCTGAACGACGGCAGATTTTAACCAACAAGTTACAAACGTGAGCTACTTAAACGTTTGTCTGACAGAATTAGAGAGTTTTGCTGACAATGAAGAAATGAGAGACGATTTAGTTCCTTTGGAGATGTATTTGGGAAATAACAACTATTTGAAAAGTTTTGTCTAGAAGTTTTCAAAAGTGTGTATGAATAAAAATAATGTCGCCACTGTGGAGGAAAGTTTGATTTTATTTGGTTGGTATATATAGGATAAGATACTTCAGACAGGACTGGCACGATTTTAAGCACCTACTTTGGGAGAACCTATCTGGTTATATAACTTATTTCTCTATGTAACACTGACCGGATTATAAGTCTATCAGAAGTGGATGTCAACTTCAGTTGTTTATGTGAATTCATATGTTCCTACTAAACCAGGTGTATTGAAATGATAGGAAAATGGGTCTGGATTCATTTTTCTTAACACTTTGTAAACAGTCTAAAAGTGGGTGGTTCGCCATCGTTCACACGTTAAATCACTTGCCATTGAGAATTTAGTCATATCTACAGCCTTTAAGACTATAAATCGACAAACAGCTTCTGTTACTTCGTTTTGAAAAATCAATTACAATCAAACGCTTTAAATCTGACCTGTTTGTTCAAAGAGAGACAATTATTAATGTAGCATTACTGTAGTAACTAACTGTTTTATCCTCTACTTCATGTTTTTGTATCCACCCCTTTTGTTTTTCCAATCTGGTCTACATTTACTACGTAATATTAGCATCTACGTGGTAAACCTGTTATTATAACGATAATTTTCTTAGCATTAGCATGACGGAGATTATTTTAGTATTAGTGTTTCTTACACCCTGTATAATAACATCAGAATTTTCCAGGTACTCATGAATGGGTAAACTTTATCACTGTGATTGTCACTCCCTACATACTTCAATCGAATCTGCCTTTTTCCTGTTATTTTCCGTCCTAACATTAAAGCATCTTTCTGGTTTTATCCCAAACCTATTCTGTATTTCTTTAACGTTACTAGCTGATGACGTTAAACTGCAAATTATATTAATAAATAAATTTGAGCTGGGTTCACTCCGAGAATTTTCTTCTTATTTTGATAAGAATAAGACTAGTGATATCCAGCTTATCAAAAACACTGCGAAATACAGTAAACTAAAATATTTTTTCCGCTGGATGTTTGTGTTGTAAATGTATCCGCTTTACCACTAGGCTACTGTAGGACAAACTGATTTCTTACTCTCTGTTTGAATGGGACATTTTTTATGTGAATTTATTCGTCCCATCCTTTATTTTGCTTTCCTCACACAATGTTTCATACTTGAGTACTTGTTGTAACAGTAATTTTAGTGTCTGTGCTAGATTATTCTACTGATTATATTTATTTTACATCACACTCGGTTGGATATTAGGTTTGTACCTTAGTGCATGACTTGGACACTACTGACTTAGTACACCACCCTAGTAACGATTATTTCGGCTGGAAAAGCGGATTTTCACAAAATACCGAAGTCTAATTGGTTACCTCACCAGTTGTTAGGCTAACCTTTCAAGTCATTCATGTAGAGCTACTCTGAATGAATGGATCTTGCAGCTTTCGGATCACTGATGCACTCAATTATTATTCACATCTAAATAAGCCACTGGGATAACAGAGTTGCAGTTAGCCACAAAGTACTAGACAGAAACGTTCTACCAGCTTTAAATGAAATTTTGAACCTTTGTCGATTGATTTAAACTTACGCCACAAAGCGTTATGCATATTTAAGTAGAATTAAGATGAGAGAAGATTTAGTATGTTCAGCGGAAAGCATGGCATCAGCCTAAGAATTATTCGATTGTGTTTCTGTTGCTTAGGGAAATGTAAGCTTCTTGATTAAGGTTTGCTAGACAAATAAAATCGGTAGTCGAATGTGATTGTAAATAGCTCATAACTAGTCTTAACGAAAAACAAGAATTCTTTCATAACCTGCTTCGAGATGTTTTCCTGAATTGATTTGTAGACGGTTTTCTCGCTTTTGTCGTCTTTTAGGATATTCTCTCCATTCCCAATTTTTTATTCTTTTTGACTTCCTCTTGTATATAAGTATGGCGAAAGGAATTGATTTACAGTATACCATGTCCAGCTTTATTACTTTTCGCTTCTGGGTAAGAACTTAGTGCATTATCTGTTAATAGAATATCATTATAAATTACCCAATATCTATTTTTTACAGGTTCATGAATGTGTTATAATACATTTGTCATCATGTTCCTTAGTATCATAGATTTAGGACCACAAAACTATCAGTGAAAGGTATGAGGAGAGGAAAGTTATATTATAGGTTCGTTAGTGAAAAGTTGGCCGCAACTTTCCTACTCTTCATAAGCCTTATTTTAATATAATCATACCTCCAGGATCATTTAACACTTCCATGTCTAGTCTTGACAACTGTTTTTTTTAATATGCAAACTCCTGCTGTAGTTTAGTTCATATTGTTTACTGCTTCAGTGTATTAATACGTTTCTCAAAAGGACAGTAGTATGTTTAACAATAAACGATATTTCGTGCTAATTCATGTGTTCATAGTTGATAGTATAAGTTTTATTCCATTCGGTTTCATAACATGCGAATAAATAGCTGCACATACCGATTCGTATAGCTTAGTGATTTAAAGAATATGTTCCAAGTAACTTCTTCATTTTATACAAGCTAAACTGTACAATCAGTAACTGTCGTAACTCAGTCACCAAGTGGATAACACTTAGGCGTTTGCAGTGTTTAGCACTGAATTCCAGTCTCAATGTGACCAAGATCATTGATATTTTAGAATATTCACCTAACGAGTTCAAGAAAGTAGAAACTTGCATCACTTAACATTTGTAGCCACTCTGGTAAATACACAATCCTCTTTTTCGACTATTTTAAGCATCCTCAATACATTAAAAAATAAAAAACTCAGTACTTTTGTTTCGTTTTTAATTTCAGGCCAAGTTAGGTCACAAAAGTCAATAGTTATTGCTGCTGTCATCTTTTTCCTTTCTGCAACACTCATTATCCTGGCATGTGTCATAACATTCTTCTGGCTGCAACGTTTAGTAAGTTGTTGCTTGTTTCCCTTCACCTTCCCATTGTGACTGTTATTTGGGTGCATTGTTTACTGTGGGATATAAGTTGTTTATTTTTCTTCTTCATAATAGTTTATTTTAAGTTTATTTCCCCCTCAGATTTTGACGATGCAAAATATTTTCATCCTAATTCAAGCGGTAAAATAGACGGGTAGAGTAAACAGAATCAGTCATATCAAGGTCAGACCAAACAAAGCAAAACTAATCGACGTTGCTGATTCAGACAGTTGTCCAATAATGAGCTTCACTTATCAGTCCACTGAATTCAAAGAAATATGAATAACCAACAGAATTCAGAGATGGTAGACTATGAAACATTTAGTCTGAACAACGCTTTCTTTGGTATTCATGTATAAGATTAAGGTAATCATTATGTAACAAGGATTGTCTGATATTTTGCACGCAGGTTCGTATGCTTCTCATCCTGAACAATAAAACAGCTTGGCGATCTGCATAAACAAAGCGAGAAATGTCTTAACTTATGCTTGAGTTAAAGATAATTAATTATGATTCACATTCTTGAGACTAGTTTTTAGAGGCTCGTCACATACAAAACGCTGACAGCGAAACAGTGGTTTGTTAATGGTGATGATAAGCTCTCAAAAAGAAATTATGGATAGCTAATTTAAGTAAATGATAATCTCTTATTTCAAATCAATCAAGTAAGGATAAATACTTAGCGTTGGTATTCAATGATTATAGCGCTGTATCAGTAATTGGCAGGATTGGTTGAAGAGTAACGTGCTCGCCAAGAAACCTGTCGACCCTGAGCTTGATCCCTTGAAAGTCCATGCATACTCACTGTTACGTCCTTCACCAAGATAAAACAGCTTTGCAGCACCCTCCGGTTTTCAGTGACTTTAAAGCCATCAAGTCAGCAGGTTGAGGTCGTTGAACCAGTTCCTATCTGTTCAAAACTCTTCCTACCCAACAAACATCATCTTAATCACCATTCTAGGTTTCAGTATTCTCTCATTCCTCCTTGTTCTCTTTTGATACCTTCCTACCACCTTTGACTGCCTTCATCCTTATTTCTTTATATATCATCTGAGTACATTCTGACTTACGTACCGGTATATGAGGTCTTGCAATCTGATAAGTTAAGCATTAATGCAAGGTCCTTTTTCGATATTGTCTCTTTCTGTCTTTGATGCTGGACAGTGTAAGGACTAAAAGCAGTTGCTACTGTAGTACGAATTATTTTTCCTATGTGCAAAGTCCTACTGCTACCTCGACAGTGATGTAACTACCACTGGTATTCAAGCTTTGATCATTGAACTAATACTAGACACATGCAATGTGAATGACTGAACCAAATATTTGCGAATTTACCAACCCCTTTATATCGGTAGGTAAAATATTAGAATTAGAAAAACCAGATCCCTGATTTGTGAAGTCCTGATATAACTATAGACGGTAAATTTTATCCAAAAGGTTTTCCAATATCTAATATTGTTTCAGTGTGTGATGTATAAGACCAATGAACTGCAACGGAAATAAAAAGTTTTCCATTGCAAATTGTGTCGGTGATATAAATTTTAATTCCAAAACGTTTCTTGTGTGTCGTGGTTACTAGCCATCAATAAACGAATAAGGTATGGCACAATCGCTGAATTTTTTGATAAGCGGAAAGTACAACTGAAAAATTAGTTATTTTGGCCATCAGGCTAACCTAACACCTACAGGTTAATATCTCCTCAAGGGTGAGTCTGGCATATTACAAGATATCAAATAAGCATAAGCATAAATTTTGCAAACTAGTAAAAAGGACCTTTCAGAAAATTCGCTTTCAAAGACTGAAAATGATAAAATGCTTCACTGCTTCCTAATTGATAACTTGAATAAAAATGAAATTCGTGTACATTTACATTGTTAACCATTTCTTCATAGATGAATAAATAGTTGCAATAAATGGTTCAGAATTCCTGAAAGTCAGCCCCACATGATAAAGACGAGGCTATCATTATTTTGTAATTTGAAGAAAATACATTATGCAAATAAATTGAATTCCAGTTTAATTGTGTTCTTATGTAATTCAGTGGGTCATCAACAGGTTATCTGTTGTACCCAGGGACATATGGAGGACCGTAAATTTAGGCCCTTTTAACTTGACACCTTGTCTTATTAACATAAAAATCATACAAACTAACGGAAATTACATTCTACATCTGTGTTGTTTACAAAACACTTACCGACATCATAGAACTTGTTGATTACAGTTAAAATACGCAAAACCTAAGTTCAGTGCTTCTCGCCACCTAATTTATAGAACCAAACACCTGAACCATCTGTAAACCCTTATTCTTTCAAAAAATAAAACAGAGGTCTAAATTGAGATCCAAAAGAAAACGCAAGCATAAATGCCAGCTTTAATTCTGATAATGTATCGTATTTTCTACAGGGAGTAATAATTTTTGAAATATAGTACAGTGTGCTATAGTGCTGCGCGCTTAGCCTAGTAATTATATTACAAACTCGATCAACAGATATCAGAATCACTTACAGACTAAAGACTGGACAGCTACATTTGCTACCGATTCGTGTAAATTTTATTCTATTGACAATATAAATGCTTTAATTTTGTTACTCAGTAACTTCGTTCAACTAATCAATCTCTATCGGTACAGCGGCTTTCTCTACCATATGGCTTAGTTTTGTTACGTAGTGTGATTGGGGCTGATAATGACATCTGAACCACTCACTGAATCATTTTTGTTGACAACCTGTCGATTAGGAATACATGCTTCATAATATTTATTGATTATCATTTTGACTATCCGAAATACCCGAGGTTTAGCAGACTAGTATCGAAACATCCACAGTGTAAAACGCAAAACGTATATTTCGTATACTACTTAGCTGCTGTTGACACTAGGAGAATGGATAATTAGTATTACTAGAGCTTGCCATGAAGTCGTATATGAGAATCAACTAAGAATAAAACAGAATTTCAAATATGAGAGCAAGATTAAGATATCTTGACCTCTTTCTTGAATTAAAACTAAGCTAAAAATACTACTGTTACATGAATCAAGTATAGTCGAATTCTAAACCTAATGTCTACCACATTTTGTATGATATGCTAGTATGTTTATCGGTTACCAGTTAACAAGTAGAATCCTTAAGAAATAATCAATAAAAGTGATAACCTCTTGGTAAAATTTACCTACTTAAGTTAGTTATTTTTCAAAAGCTGTAGTGTCACTTAGGTGAATAATAATCAATAAAGTATCATCCTTGCCATTCTATTAGGATTTTGAAGCTGTTTACATGTGACTGCTTCTTATTCCTAATTTAAAACCAAGATTAATCAGTGAAAATCATAATATGCGACAACAATCCTACCATCTTTAAGTTAGATATGCATTAGTTCGCAAACAGCTGTATTTTGGAAATAAGTTTTATTGAGGTGTTTTTATCTACAACAGTTGAAGTTATGCAAATTCCTAGATTCAACGCTTTCTGTCAACCAGCTCCAACTACCTAAAATGAAAATTTATTAGTTATGCACACCACTACCACAGTTATAAACTTTTACAAGGCAGTTTATCTGACCAACCTGTATTTCATTTTGTATTATTCACAAAGAATAAACTAAATAATATGTAGTTTCCTCGATGTTTCATCATAAAACTTAATGTTTTTACTATATGCAATGTAGAAATATCTCAGTCGATGTTATCCATCAAATCTTGATTGGTCTTAGCCGCTTTTTGACGTCAGCCATTGAAATGATCTATAAAAAGGTAGATGTTGTGTCAGAGTTACCATACACACATAGGAATACTTTTTTTTTAACTAATAAACGATTGTAATCGAAAGAATACATTCCCACTTTGGTCTAGGTTTTAATTACTGAATCTTTATATGTATAGTGCCACAGTAATTATGAATCACTTTGGGAGTTCGTAGGGATTTATTGGTTTGAAGTTCGTATTAATCATGAACTGACACGATGAATACTCGAAATCAATAAATCCCCAGAAAGCCCCAAATTGAATTAGTCTACTGCTCATTGTTGACTAGTGTCGCGAGATGATTCCTGAGGTTTCAACGAGAAGTCGTGAGTGGTGGGGCAAACCTAGTGGTAGTGAGGACATATACTCAACAATGACATCGGGTAATGTTCACGCTATGTCGGGAAAGTGGACCAGTGGATTCCGATCCAGTGACACAGTGTTAATGTGCTGACCACAGGACCTGAAGGTCCTGGGTTCGGTCTCTGTTGGGGGTCGTGGAGGAGTCCTATACTTGGGCTAAGAAACTGTCTAGTGCTCCAAAGTTTCCAATGTTCCACCATCCTATGTCAGTCTATGATGAACACCAACTTGAAATTATAAATCACTTCTAAAATTTATTATTTACATTCGGTTTCCATCTTTATTCTGAAAATCTAGATGTTTTAGTCATGATAATCAATAGCTGTTAACGAAATATTCTGCTGAGTGATATGAATGACTAGATATAAATAAACTTTATCACTTTTACCAAAGAGATCTAAATGCGTGGTAATTGTTTCGTTTGTTTTGTGTCATCACCTACAAGGACTCAATTCGGAAAGTTGATTTTTTTCTGACCATTTTAATTGACCATCTGGATATTTTAAAAATCTATGTTCGAAAAGCTGTGAACGCTGTTTCAAATATCTCAAGATTTAATGGTTTTTGAATGGACTGTGAAGGACTTGGTGAAATTGCATTAGATCGATTTGTTGACTTCTACAAGGGATTATTTATTAGTCTAACCGAAGCTTTATCTGGTGTGCGGAAATCAGATATAATCCTCTCTGATTTGTCTGAGTAACTTATTGTCTTAGTCTTCAATAGAGGATAGGAGGCCTCTTGTGGTAAACGTAAGCAAGTCAAGCTAATTGATTTGTTTCATTGACGTTCAACTGGAGCTCCGAAAATCAAAAATATTAGACTGGTTTCGGATCTAGCCTTAGGTGTATTGACCAAATATTCACTCTC